ACCAACAAAGATTGAGGGATGACCTTATATAGAGGTTCATAACATCTTGAGCAGCATGGCTAGGATGAACAGCCAACATCTGAACAGGGTGAATAGGGGCATCCAAAACTGGGGGGCATAGCTTTAAGGTGATAGGGGAAAAGATTTAAAAGGAACTTGAAGGACAACTTTTACACACAGAGGGTGGTGCATACAGAATGAACTGCCATTGGACGTGGTAGAAGCAGATGCAATTATAACATTTGAAAGGTATCTGGATGGGTACATGAATAGGAAGGATTTGGAGGGATATGGGCCAAATGCTGGCAATTGGGACTAGATCAGTTTAGGATATCTGCGTCAGCGCGGATAAGTTGGACTGAAGGGGCTGTTTCAATCCTGTATGACTAAGACTCTAAGTACTGGGGTGTGCAAAAAGAGACAAACAATGGATGAGTATTCATTACATCATTGCTCATGATCAACAACTCTAGAGAAAGTACTCCTGCGTTCTATTCCCACAACTCTGCTACTTTCTCAATAGATTTCTTTCCCTTGAAAACTGCTAATGATTAGAGAAATAATTGTTCGCACTTCAAAGTTTAAGTAAATTCAGCTCGTGTTCATTCTCAAATTTCAACGGATCGCACATATAAAAGCTTAAGTCTAAGAATACAATTTCAAAACATCCTGTTAAATAAATAGTGTAGTCCCCTACAAAAACAAAGTTGCTGGAAAAGCTCAGCAGGTTTGGCAGCATCTGTGGAGGAGAAAACAGAGTTAACGTTTCGGGTCCGGTGACCCTTCCTCAGAGCCCGTTCTGCCAGACCTGCTGAGCTTTTCCAGTAAATTTGTTTTTGTTCCTGATTTACAGCATCCGCAGTTCCTTTGGTTTTTATTAGTGTAGTCCCCTAGTTCAGTTTCAGCACACAAAAAGCACACAAATTTTTAGTAACTTTCAGACTTCCTAAATATATAGTTAAGACTAGCTGCACAAAATTATCAAATAGTCACTTTCTAATAGAGCAATACTAGCAGTTTAGTACAAAAAGCACTTCACTCACTGGCACTGATTATTCTGCAAATGCACATGATGTAGTACTAAATGTCATCTATACAAATAATGTACCATGTTTGAAAATAATAGTTCTCTATTTCAATAAACTGAACTGCTGCCTTCACACAGAGTACAGCTGAATTAATGTTCACTGGAAATAAGAGAAATGAAAACCAAAAGAACTGCGGATGCTGTAAATCAGGAACAAAAACAAAGTTGCTGGAAAAGCTCAGC